CTCCCTTTCTCTCTGTAAAATATTAACAAAATATATTTTTAAAAAGGGGGTGGGGGGGGGGCCTGAGGCATGGCCCCCGGGACACTTGATGCCTCTCTCAGGCGCAGAATTCCAAGAGCTCCAAGTCTTTCGAGACAAGCAAGTCCCCCTCCCCACCCTCCCCGCTCTTTGAGGCACTTCAGATCTCAGGGTGGACGCTACATGTCCTTGTGTACAGATGGCCTCATCTCTGCCCCATGAGCCCTGAGGGGGTGCCTGCAGCACAGACCACCGGGGCAGCCTGGCTGGGATTGGGGTTCTGTACTATGGGGGGCACTCTCAGGGGCTCTCTAAAGCCTTGCCCACTATGTACTGACCCCCAGGGGCACACCCACCTGTGGAGGATCCCACACTTGGCTCCTCTCTCAGCACCCTTTGTCCGCCGGCCTCGGCACCCTGGGCGTGTGTGTGGGTCAGAAGGAGGGACAGGTGGCATTTCCCCTGAGGCAACATGGACCCCTGGGAGGGCTTCCCTGGGGAGGACCATGTCCCCCAGTTCCTGCAGGGCCAGCTCCCCCCACACCCCCGGTCTCCCAGACAGAGCCGAGGAGGGCAGTGAGTGTGCATCCAGCAGACAGCACTGGGTGCAGACACTCCCACGGGTGACTATGCCGGGAAAAGAGAGAGGTCAGGGCCAGTGGATGCCCCAAGGGCTGTTTAAGGAGAAAGGGGCACAGCTAAGGCCGGGCCCAGTGACCCCAAAGACCCCCCTCCGCCTGGGGGCCGGGAGGGGAGCGCCTGTGCTGATTTATGGCCCTCTAGGGTGGACAGGAGCTGGGCTGCCAAGGCCTGGCTCCCTCCCTCCCTCCTCCTCCTCCTCCTCCTCTCAGTTGGGGGTCAGCTGGGGAAGGGTGGCTCTCAGCTGGTTTCCAGATGGGTCTGGTGGAGGGGGCGCCCAGGGGTGGGAAGCCAGACACCCCGAGGATGGGGACCCTGCTGGTGTCAGCGGGCCCCCATGGCTGCTTCTGTGTCTGTGGCCGCCTTTCCACCTCCAGGCCTGTCTGTCTCTGTCCCCTGCCGCCCCCCTTCCCAGGGCCGCCTGGGTGGGTCGGGGTGGGCGCGGGTGATTTATCACCCACTGCCTGTCTTCCATCGGAAACGCCGGGGGTGGGCGCAGACTGCGCGGTGAGCTATGGGCCCCCAGGGCTCCACCACCCACCCCAATGTTGTTGCTCCGTCTGGTCGGCGGGTGCACACCCTCCCTCCCCCCACAACCTGGCCAGGGGTTCGGTCCCCCAGACCTTCCCAGGGCCTCTCCCAGGCTCCCCTCGCCTCCCCAGGCTGGAGGGGGGCCGTGGAGGACCCCACGTCCCTTCCCCCACCACCAGGTTAGCCGGGAAGTTTCCCTCCTCTGGGGAGCCTGCTCCAGCTGCAGCACAGGAGCCAGAAGGGGCTGAGGCCAGTCCTCACTGCCGCCTTCTTGCCCCTGGCAGCCGCTATGCACCCCCCCTCGGTGCACACAGCAGGGGTTCAATAAGTGTTTTCGGAGCAAACAGGCTTCGGGGAGGGCGGAGGGCACACCTGGGCTGACCCTGCCCCCTTCCCCTGCTCCGCCGGGCGGAAGAGGTCCCTTATCTCCCTGGTTGACTGGCTGTCAGCAGGCCCGCGGGGGGGGGGGGGGGCTGTGAGGGGGGTAGAGGCAGGGAGGAGGAGGAGCAGGGGTGGAGGGTGGCACACCCCTCTCTGTCTGTCCGTGCCCCAGGGCGCACCCTCCCCATCCCCATCCCCATGGGGTGTGCCACCTGCCCGCCCCTCCTGCCTCTCCCCCGCCTGCCAGCATGGACCAGCCTCCGTCTCTTGGCCTCTGTCTCTCCGTGGACCCTGGCGGCCTGCACCCGGCGCCCGCCTCGCCCACCGCCCTCCTGTCCGCGCTTCCGCAGACCGCGAGCGCCCTCTGGTGCCTGCTCCGGGTGGCGGCGCGCGAGGAGAGGACTGGGCTGGACAGGGCGCCAGCAGCACCCACCATGTCAGGGTGAGGACACACCAGGGCTCCAGGGCAAGGTCACGGCGGCTGTCTCTGCTCTGGGAATGCCGCCTGGCCCTGCGGAGGCTCGCTCTATCCAACCCTCTGAGCGGCCAGGCCTGGGCTGTGGCCTGAGCCCCTGGCGGGCCTCAGGGGCACGGGCCTGGCTGGACACAGTGTCCTGCGCCATAGCGCGGACACTGGTACAGTAGGAATGGACAGACACTGGCCTGTGAGGGGCGGGTACACCGAGGCTGGGCCTTGATGGAAAGGGGAGGGTGCTGGGAGGCCGGGGAGCAGAGGTGTGGGTCCAGACCCCTCCATCAGCCACACTGAGAGCTGGAGATGGGGGTGGGGGAGGGGCTGTGCAGGGCCTTTGGGCAGACCCCCACCTGCTCCCGTCTGGAAGGGACCAGCCTGTCAGTGAGGAAGGGGCCGTGGAATCGGGTGTTTTTCATGAGGTGGAGGACAATGGTGGGGTGAGGGGCACGGTAAGGCCTCCCAGTTTGGGCTGAGCGGTCTGTGCTCTCCCTCCCTGAATAGGGCCATTCAGGGGCATTGAGCTGGGACCATCCACTTCCCCACACTCCTTGGGGGCTGAGGCCCTGGGGTCAGTGTGGAGAGGGTCAGCTCAGGGTCAGGACTGGGATCGGGGGCTCCCGGGCAGCCTGGAGAAGGCAGCGCGGCCAGGCCAGCGTCCCCCTGTGAGTGCCTTGGCAGGGGCAGCTCTAAATCCTGGAGAACTGGCGAGACGGGGGCGGGGGGATCCCGGGAGGGCCATGGGGTCCAGCCCCCCCCCCCCATCCACCAAGCGGGAAGGGCTTGCTTAGGTCTGACCACACTGTGTTGCCAGCCTCTTTCCTCCCTCCTGCCCTCCGGGCCCCGATGCCCGCTCTGCCATCTGGGTACTGACCCAGGCGCCCTCAAGCCTGTGGGCAGTGAAGCTGGGCTCCTGCTGACCATTTCCCAAAGCCCAGGGGACACCCTTCTCTTAGCTGGGGTCCCCCCGGACGCCTGGGGCTACTCTCCTGGGCCCTGCATTTGCCCCCCGGAGGGCCTCAGAGAGGAGAAGAGGGAATCCCTGGGGCCTGGTCTCAGCCACGAAGGAAGCTCTGAGCCCAGCAGGGGCTCATCTGTGGGGTCTGGAGAGGAGCGGGGTGCCCGTCCCCTCCTGGCACCATGTTGGGACCAAGTTTAGGAAGTTGCCTGTGTCTCTTGCTGTGACAACGACCATCACCTCTGGGGGTGCTGGGCCACCCCCGGGGAGGGCAGGGCAGGGCAGCAGTTCACTCGTACAGAGCGGCCACCGCCTCCGATGTGGCGATAAGCCTGGGAGGACGGCCGGATGCCTCGCACCTGCCCACAAAGGTGGGGTGGCTCCTGCCTCACGTCCCGAGATAGCATCAGCCCGGCCGGAGGGCCATCCGTCTTGTCCGACAAAGGCCAGGACAAAGGCCGTGTCAGCGGCAGCCTCCCGACCCGGTCAGCGGGGGTCCGGGCCTTCCTGTGCCAGCGGCGGAGGCCCAGGCCTGAGGCTCCGCTGGGATCCTGCTTGGGGGGCCGTGGGGAGCACCCTCCATTGTTCTCAGATGGAGTGAGGGCACATCGGCTCCTCATTGGGGCGCCCGGGTCCCCCATGAGTTTGCTGCACTAGGGCAGCCACAGCGGAGTGCCCAGCCCTGATTGACAGCCAGAGGTCAGGGGTGACCGAAGGCCTGAGAAGCCCCCCCCCCCCCCGGCTGGCCTGTGCGGGTCCGAGGTGCCTTCCCGCAGGGAGTGGTGGCCCGGGGAGGACATGGCTCCAGGGACCCTGCAGCCCCGGTGCCCACTCACTCCTCGGGGACGTCTGTCGGCCCCACCTTGCATGGCCTGGGCCCTGCCCCTCCGGCCGCCCAGAACGTCTCACCAAATGCCCAGGGAGTCCCAGGTGGGCCCCTAGGCTGGCCTGACCACCCCCTCTTCCCCCTCCGAAGGCTGCCACGGGGGAAGCCACACACACGGCACTGTCCTCAGAGCCGCCCCACGGCCCCACGCTGGCCCCGAAACTGCTGGCCTCCCTCTCTCACTGCCCTGCAGTGTCCTCTCTGCCCCACACCGTCCTTACTGTCCCGTGTCTTACTCCCCCACTGTCCTGTCTCCATGCTGTCCAACCTTGCCAGGGTCCTCGCTGCCCACAGGGTCCTCGCCGCCCACAGTGCGCTACTGTCCCCACGGTGTCCTGGCTGTCTCCACAGCGTCCTCACAGCCCCCCTCCCCGCCAGGACACCCACTCCCCAGGGTCCTTCTCCCCACAGGGTCCCCGCTGTCCTCAGGGTCCCGGCTGCCCCACACTGCCTTTGATGTCCCCACTGTGTCCTTGCTGTCTTCACAGCACCACGGTGAGCCGGGCGGCTTGCTGGGCAGCGGGGTGGGGTCCCTCAGCACCCAGAGCGCCAGGCCTGACTCCAGCCTCCGAGACCCGCGACCCCCCTTATCCACAAGCCTTGCCACCCTGACCACCCGACCACTCTGCACACTGGCTGTTCACACACGGTCCTCACTGCCCGAGTGTGTTATTGTCCTTTGGGGCTCCCTCGCCACTTGAACTTCTGGGAGTCAGTGTCTGGGGTACCGCGTGTTTGGAGGTGATTTGGGGTGCAGGGAGGTGAGTGTCCCTTGGAACTGCTTCTCAGAGCTTTTTCTGTGGTTTTGGAAAAGAGGGTTTCCAGGCTGCAGGTGCAGAGACGGATCAGATCGGGAGAAGGGTCAGGGTTTATTCTGCACCGGAGTTTGGCGTGAGGGACCCCTCAGGGTCTGGGCTGCATGCAGTTGGTCCCCAAGGGCTCAGTGGTGGGCTGGCTGGCAGCTAGCCACCGCCCCGCCGAACCAGGGCCTGCAGACGGGGCGGGGCCCGGAAGAGGAGAGTGGCCTCCAGGGTCGGGCGAGGGCTCCTGGGGGCAGGGTCCTGGTCCACCTCGGGCAGGCCCACCTCGCTCGGCGCCGGTTCGGTCCGCTCCTCCTAGGACTCGCCGTCCCCGGCCGGGTCCGCCACCAGCGGGGCGGCCAGCGACAGGCGGCGGAGGGCGCGGGCGCGCAGCCTCCGCAGGCGGCGCAGCAGCAGCGCCAGCAGCAGCGCGTGCAGCAGCCCGAGGCCGAGCAGCGCCAGCTGGGCCGCCAGCGCCCCCCGGCAGAGCGCGCCGGGCGCGCAGGCGGCGCGCAGCTCCTCCTCGGCCAGGTAGGGCAGCAGGCGGCCCCGCAGCGCGGGGGGCGCGGCGCAGCGCAAGCCGCGGTAGAGCGCGCGCTCGGGCCGGCCGGCCAGCCAGGCGCGCAGCGGCACCAGGCGGCAGTCGCAGCGCCAGGGGTTGGCGCCCAGGTGCGCCGCGCGCAGCGCCGGCAGCGCGTCCAGCAGCCCCGGCGGCAGCGCCGTCAGGTTGTTGCCCGTCAGCACCAGCTCCGTCGTGTCCGGCGGGAAGGCGGCCGGCAGCGAGGCCCGCGTCAGCCCGCGGCGCCCGCAGTCCACGCGCGTCCCGGCGCAGCGGCAGGGCGCGGGGCAGCCGGCGGCCGGGCGGCCCAGCGGCGCCAGCAGCAGCAGCCACAGGCCCAGCGCCCCGCGCGGCCCTGGAAAGGAAGCGGCGCGGTGAGGGGGAGCCGGGCGGCTTGCTGGGCAGCTGGGCGGGGGGGGGGGGGGGTCCCTCGGTGCCCAGAGCGCCCGGCCTGACCTCCAGCCCCGGAGACACCCCTCCCCACCGCGCGCTCCCCCAGGGCGCGCCAGCCTCGCCGGCCACCGTGACCACCCAGCCAGCACTGGCTGCAAGTTTCCTCCAAGTCTGCCCCCAATCCCCCCACTGCAGCCCAAACCCGAGGGCCTCCCAACCTGTCTGCTCAGGGTGTGGCCTGGCCCAGCACCAGACTCACCAGAGCCCATGGCGAGAGGACGGCGGCCCGGCTTGCTCTGGAGTGGAGGCGTTTGCCCGAGGACCAGGAGATAAGACCGCCACGTCCCTCCTCCTGGTCCACCGACCACAGCTCAGCTGCCGGGCCAGAAATAACTCGGGGCGGCCTTCGCAGGCGCTGATAGAGCCCTATCGCCGGGGGCCAGCGCTCCGAACTTCCGCCCCCACTCGGCCCAGGGGGCGAAAGGAGCACTCGGACCGCAGCCACGTTCACCAACATTGTTCTCCCGCCAACGGGACAGGAGGGCATTCACAACTTAACAAAACCGAGGATGGGGCCTGGGGAAGTGCTCATGCAGGAGGAGGGATGGTGGACGGGGGCCCAGGGCTGGGGAACCCAGGGCAGCAGTGATGCTGGGGAGAGGGCCCCCAGCCACAGGCAGGGAACAGCAGGCTAGGCATGGGGGTGGCCCCCACAGCCCACTGCTCCTGGAGCCCCCCCCCCCCACAGCAGTGGGGGAGGGGCATGGGCATCCCAACCCCACAGGTTTTGCGGGGTCCTAAGTGCTCCATCTGCCTGCTGAGCTGCTGGGCGAGGAGGGGAGAGAGGACCTGGCCGGCACCCGCACAAAGTGAGGTCTCAGCATGTGCTGGGTGGCCCACGGGAGCAGGGGACACGTCTGTGCTGTGACACTGGGTGGGGGGATAGGTCCGAGACCCCGGGGATCTGCTCCCCTCTTCTGCCTGAGTAGGGCCTGGAATCTGAGGGCCGTGACCTTCTGAGATGGGGGCTGGGGGGGGTGGTGGTGGAGAGAATCTCAAAAGTCACAGCGCATTTAGTTCCTGCTCCTCCAAGGCCAGAGTGGGGGCCATTGCCCAGGCCCCATGGAAACAGACACAAATGAGGGGAGGGGCCGATGTTGCAAATAAATTAGGGAGGGATGGCTGGGGTTGTGGCCCCACGTCTCTGGGTCAGGTCGGGAACAGTCTGGGTCTAGGCCACTCTGGGATTGGGGCCGCATCCAGGCCTGTCAGAGCTCCAGATGAATCCAGGGTCGAATCCAGGCCAGTCGGGGTCCAGGAGTGGAAAGGGCCAGTCCACAGACTGGCAGCCTGTTCATGGCCACGCCGGGCTGGGGGGAAGGGGGGTCACTGGTCCTGGATCTGCTGCTTCATCTTCTGCAGCATCTCCTGCATGCGCCTCAGCTGGGAAGGGGGACAGGGACCACGGAAGGCGGGGTGAGGAACCAGATGGGAGGGGCCTGGCTCCGCTCCCAACCGCTAGCCTCTCCTCCCACCCCCACCCCACCCCAGCTCCGTGCCCCACCAACCTCCTCATCCTTCATCCGGATCAGCTTCTCGGTCTCGGCATCGGGGGTGGGCAGGGGCAGGATGGGGATGGGGCTCTCCATGCGGCTGTCCTGGGTTAATTTGCTGCGGGGCGGACAGGAGGAACAGAGCTGCTGGGCGGTCCAGCCAACCTCACCACTGCCAAGGCTGCCCTCCTGGGCTCCCACACCGCTGGGCTGGGGAGACGAGGTGCTGGGGAGCTGGTTTGGGGGCTGGGCAGCCAGGACACTGTGGTTGCGGAGGCGTGTCAAGGCCAGGAGGTGCAGGCCCGGGTCCGGGGGATGGCGCACCTGGTCATCTGCTGGATGCAGTGCGCGCGGTAGTTCTCATAGTGCACGTCACACGTCACGTCCTTGAGGTCATGCATGTGGGTGCGGATGAGCATGTTCCTCAGCTTCACGAAGTCGCAGTGCGCCTGGTTCTCCACTGGGGGGCAGGAGCGCGCAATGGGTAGGGCGCCAGCCAGGGCTGGCCTTCCCACCCAGCTGGCGGCTGTGCCCCGTGCCTGGACTCACCCTCCACGATCCCCCAGGGGTACAGTCGCCCCCGGACTCGCTGCCCCTTGGCCTCCACCACCGTGTTGCTGCCGATTACCGCAAAGGGCGCACTCTCCTGCGGAGGGGCGGGTGCAAGGGCTCGCGCCCAATGAGGGTGGGTTAGCGGTTGGAGAGGGGCATGGGCACCCGGCGCCTGGTCAGCTCCGCCAGCATCACCATCAGTGACCTCTCCCCTCTCACCCCCCAACCTCCCTGCTGCCGGCTGAGGCCAGAGCTGGTGCAGCCTACATCCTAGGTGCAAGCATGTCAAACTCTCGGCCAGCGTTTACTTAAACGAGGCATGTGGCCCGTTGGCCGCGAGTCTGACATGCTCGACCTAGGGCCGTGGTGGGCAAACTGCGGCTCTCGAGCCACACGTGTCTCTTTGGCCGCTTGAGTGTGGCTCTTCCACAAAATACCACGGCCTGGGCGAGTCTATTTTGAAGAAGTGGCGTTAGAAGTTTAAGTTGAAAACACTTGGCTCTCCAAAGAAATTTCAATCATTGTACCGTTGATGTTTGGCTCTGTTGACTAATGGGTTTGTGGACCACTGTCCTAGGGCCTGTAACTGAGTTTATGCCTCCGAGTGGTCTCCCTGCTGACTTTGGTTGGGGCCAAGGGTCTGCCCCACCCTGCTCCTGGCCTGGTGACCACCTGTCCCCAGTTTGACCTTGGTCATAACCACTCCAGGTGCTGGGGCACACAAAGCCACCCCCATCCTCTGTTGCACAGAACTCTGGGAGCCAGAGCATACACGACTAGTGGCCGGTGATTCACAGGGGACCGAGGAGTAGGGTTGGAGGGGGTGGGGAGGGCGCTGGCCAGAAGCTGTGCCTTTGGGCAGGCAGGAACATGGGGGACCCCGGTCCTCTCAGGCTGGGTGAAGGGACTCGATACTGCCCAGGCTAAAGACCGCCGTCAAAGCCCCCAGGTAGGACCTGGGCAGCCTGCCTCCTCCAGGCGCCACGTGAACTGGACTTCAGCTCCCTCCCTGCCCGCTGGGCTGCACGCAGGCTCACTTTCAGCTCCCGGTCCTGCTGCTTGAAGTCCTCGTCCTCGTCCGAGTCGCACTCGGGGAACTGGTACACGTGGATCCCGAACTTGTCGATCTCCTCCCGGATCTGCAGGGGGAGGGGGGCAAGGCTGCCTGTCAGCTTAAGGGCTGGCAGGGTGTCGTCCCCCCCGCCCCCGCCCGGCCGGCCGGCCTGGTGCGTGGATGCCCGGGGTCCGCGCCCCACGTCCTGGGCCTGACCCACTGCCTCGCAGGCTCACCCGCTCCTTCAGCTTCCGGACCTCACAGGGAACCAGACAGTCCGCTTTGGCGATGAGGGGCACGATGTTCACCTTCTCGTGCAGAGCCTTCATGAAGCCCACGTCCACCGGCCGCAGCCTGCGGGGGGCAGGCAGGGGGTGAGGGCTGCTGGGGTCATGGTGGGGTGGGGTGGGGAGGAGGGGGGGCCCCGGGAGGCCCTGGAGGCCCTCTGAGAGGCGGGAGGCCCCCGGCCGCGCGCGGGACAGCCACGCACCCGTGCCCAAAGGGAGAGATGAAGTACAGGCAGCAGTGCACCCGGTTGTCCTGGATGTTCTTGCGGTTGAGGCCGCTCTCGTCGCGGAAGTACTGCTCAAACTGCTGGTCCACGTAGTCGGTGATGGGCTTCCAGCTGCGGGCAGAGGGAGGGTGCGTGAGGCCGGGCCGTGCGGGCGGCGTGCTGCCCACCCCCCCCCCCTCCACTCCCGCCAGGCCCGCCCTCACCACTCAGAGTTGTTGACGGCATCCCCGAAGCCCGGCGTGTCCACAATGGTGAGCTTGAGCTTGACGCCCTTCTCCTCAATGTCCACCGTGTGCTTCAGGATCTCCACCGTCTGGCTGATGCGCTCTGCGGGGCGGGGGAGGGGGGGACACCGACGCAGCTGGGAGGGGCCTCCCCCGCAGCCTAGGCAGCCGGGATGCTGTCCTCCCCCATCCCAGCCACGGGGCCTGGCTGCGGTTCAGGCCACCCCTGCTGGACCCTCATGCCGTGGGGAGGGAGGAGGGGGATGGACCGGGAAGGGCCCCCCTAGAGGGGTCGGGTCACACAGGAGGGGATGGAGACCGGTGGCCGGGACGGCGTGGGCTCCACTCACCCTCCGCACTGAGAAGCTTCCGGTCCTTGTACAGGTCGGTCAGGAAGAGGCTGTGGACCAGCGTGGACTTCCCCAGGCCTGACTCACCTGCCCACGGACACGTGAAGGCGTCGGATTAGGTCTGAGCCCACGCCACCCCTCTCCCCCCCACCCCCCCGCCCCCAACAGAACCTGGGCAGCCAGAGGCCCCAGCCGCCCCACCGGGCCGCCTGGCCCACTCACCAGCCACCATGAGCGTGAAGTCGAAGCCCTTCTTCACCGACTTCCGGTGCACCTGGTTCGGCAGCGTGGCGAACCCCACGTACTGCTTGTCAATATCCTGGGGGGCGGGGGCAGGGCAGGTCAGGGGTACCCTGGGGCTTCTGGGCAGCCCCAGGCCGTCCCCCCACCATCCAGCTCTGGCAAGGAGGCAGCAGAGGACAGAAGCCCCCCAATTTCAATGGCAGAAAGGGCTGAGGCCGGTGGGCAAAGGCCTGGAGGTGGGAAGGCAGCTGGGGTGGGGGGGATGGCTGGTGAAGGTACCTTTGCCCTGGCCTCCAGGAGGGGCTTTTCAGGACCCCAAGACTGTGTGTGTGTGTGTGTGTGTGTGTGTGTGGAGGGAGCCATGTCTGGCCACAGCGGACACAGGCGGTGTCCCCCCTTGAAGGGTGGACAGAGGACACCAACACTGAGACCCCTGGGCCGTGCCCAGGCCCTCCGTGGGCAGGAGAAGCCTGGCCTCCATACTCACCCCTCGCCAGTGCACCAGGGGTTGGGAGGCCCCGTGGCCCCGATCCAGCCGCGGGGGTGGCGGCGGCAGCGGCTCGGGAGCGGGGCTATTTATAGGCCCCGGCGCCCAGCCGCCCCGCCCCCGCGGGTCCGCGCCCACCACCTGCGGACCTGGCCCTGCGGACCGGACCCCGCGGACCTGGCCCCGTGGACCGGACCCTGCGGACCTACCTGGCCCTGTGGTCGCACCCCGAGCCCCGGGCGCTGACCCACATCCCGCTCCCCGCCCCGCACACACCTTGAGCCGCCTCTGCGCCTGGGTCCGCGGCGACAGCAGCTGCTCCACCAGGCGGTCCTGGGGTGCTGCCAGGGAATCCATCACGGCGACCCCCCCTCTCCCCAGGCCCAGCGGGCGCCTTCGGACCCCAAACCGGGTCAGGCCCACACGGGCCCGACGTTCTCCGTTCTCGGGGTGGGGGTGGGGGATCAAACGCTGCGGTGCCCTCGAAGCCCCGATCTCCGTCCCGAGTCAGGGACCCGGGGACCGAGGCCGGGAAGCCAGACGCGGCCCACCCGGGGCGCCGCCGACCCCGGAGGCCGCGCGAGCCGTCCCCCTGCTCCGCGGGCCCGCCCCGAGACGCGGACCGGAGGCGGGGCCGGCGGAGGCGCCCCGCCCGCCGTCGCCGGGAGACGGTCGCCTGGAAATTGGGCCGCGGGCGGAGCCACCGACAGCTGCTGCCCGCGCCGCGCGCCCCGCCGCCCCCCGCGGGCAGGGGACCCCGCCGCCAGGCTCGCGGCCTCGGCCCAGGCGCCGGGACAGCGGGGTGAATGCGGGGGGTGGAGTGGAGGGAAGGGGAGGCCGGGTCCCACCGGGGGCTCCCCCCACTGCCCCCCAGTGTGGCCGCTGTGTCCCACCCCCCAGAGCTGCACTGCAGCGTCTGTCCGCCAGAGGGCGCCCGAGGCCGCTCCCGGGCCCCACGCGCATCCACACGCGACCGGCCCATGCACCCCACTTTCCCCTCGCAGACTCCACCCAAAACCGCCGGCGGTGACACGGCGTCCCGGCTACCCACAGGCACACCCCCTCTCCCGCCAGTCAGTCCCGGCCTCCTCCCCTCGGCTGGAGGCTGAACCGCCCCTCCCCCTCGCGTGTGCGTGTTTGTGTGTGTGTGTTTGGGGCTACGTAACCAGCGTGGCCCCCGAGACACGGGAGGGACACGGACGAGGACAGAGCCCACCTTCCCCAGGAACCAGAGCCCACCTCCTGAGCCTGGACCTGTTCCCCCACCTTCCCCTCCCCCCACGGCTATAGCCACCCCCTCCCAGGCCCAGGGAGCCTTGGAGCAGGAAGGAGCCAGTGAGATCTCTGGCCACCTACCCCGTTCCACCTCTGGAAATTTGTTTGTTTTTTTTTTACATAGAGGAAGAGAGAGGGATAGAGAGCTAGAAACATCGATGACAGAGAATCATAGATCAGCTGCCCTTTCACACCCCCTACTGGGGATGTGCCCGCAACCAAGGTACATGCCCTTGACCGGAATCGAACCCGGGACCTTGCAGTCCACAGGCCGACGCTCTATCCACTGAGCCAAACCGGTTTCGGCCACCTCTGGAAATTGGGGAGCTGCAGCCAGCATGTCGCTCCACTAACCTGAAGGCCATGCATGAGCTGTCCTGGCTGCCCCCAGAAAGCCCTTGCCAGCAGAGGTGGGGGTGTGTGGAGTGGGACGCCCCTTCTCCCCGCAGCCATTCCCTCTGAGCCTCTCTGACTGCTCTGACCCACAGAACTGGGCGCACGGGGGCCGGGAAGACCCAGCAGCTCAGCCCTGACCCCGAGGTGGCCACGCAGGAGCCACAGTGGTCTCCGGAGCAGCAAGCCCTCCAGTTCCCACCCAGAATCTGATCGGCAGGGAGGCCCGGCACGGAACTGGGGTCTGAAGAGGCTGCCCCCTTAGACTGTGGGTGTCAGTCGGGACAGGAGGCCCCCCGGCTTTCCCCTGCCCAGCCCTGGCCGAGGAGCCTCTGTCCCCGGGGCCAGGCTGGTGGTGCTGCCGTGGGGCCCGGAGCCGCTGGCACCTGATGGGAACGGGGGAGTTTTTCATCTCAGGGGCGAGTATGGAGAGTGGGGGAGCCACAGGGCCCCAAGCTCTTTCAGACAGGCCCCCAGTCCTGGCTCCAAGAGGCCTCCGCTCTGGCCACGCTGACCTGCAGGAGGCCTCTGGGCCGAGTCCCCTTCAGACATGGCGCTCAGCCCAACACCCACCCCGAAGTCTGGCATCTCAGGCCCAGAGCATCTCCAGGAAGACAGGCAGACACCTGGGTCTGGGCTCAGGCTGAGCGGGGGGCTCAGCACCCCACAGCCTGGTGTCTGGCAGAGCTTTGGCTCCCACATCGCTTCACTGTCCCCAGGGGTAAGCCCCAGCCCCGGGAGGCACAGGCCGGGAGGGCGAGAGCCTCACTCCCCGCGCCCAGCCTGCCTGCCCGCCCCAGACCGGGCCAGCGGGCTCCCAGGGAGAGCCCCGGGGAAGGGGCCCCGCCACCGCCTTTCCCTGGCCCCGCAGCACCACCCACCCTCCTCCTCGGCTCCCCGAGCCCCACACACAGCTGCGCCCACCTCCTCCGGAGCCCGAGACTCTCCAGGCATTCCCGTTCTTAGAATCACCGCGTCAGCTCCGGAGAGCCGCCAACAGAGCCCACAGAGCCTCCATCGCTGCCTGAGCCAGGGTGGGGATGGGAGGAGGGCGCAGGGGGCCACCAGAGCCCGCACCCCCTTCCTGGGACCGGATGGAAGCTCAGAGAGCCGCCCCCTTCCAGGAGCCTGAGTGTGGACACCAACAGCGGTGATGGCAGAGCCATGTGTGCTCCTGCCCCAAACACCTGGCTCTTGGCCCGGCTCCTGGGTCCTTCTCCCTGCCCCCCAGCTGCATGGTGCCCTCTCCCTCAGGTCCTAGGGGCAGGGGATGGGTCAGGCTGGCACCTAGCTGACTTCAAGGGGGGCAGGGACAGACCCAGACCAGAAAGGGACTCACACCTCGGCGAGAAGGTCAGCACCTGCCTGGCCGGTGGCTGCAGGCCCCAAAGCCATGGGGGCTGACCTTCCAGGCCTTCCCTCCCTCTCTCCCTCCAACCGTGGCCCGGCGGCGTGTGTCCCTGCATCTCAGGCAGCGTCTGACCCGCCAAGGATGGGGAGGCCGTCCCCGGCCTGGGCCCGCCCCACCGGGGAGCCCCTCGCCGGCAGGGTGAGGCTGACACGGGGCCCCTCCCCATGAACCTCCGGAGTCCCGGGGCAGGGTGTGTCCCCGCCAGGAGATGGGGATCAGGCAGCCAGTGACTCCCAACCGGGCTGACCCTAGCCCACCTGCCTCACCCTGAGCCGGCACCCCGGGATTCCACCCCACATCTGCCTCACCCTAAGCCTCCATCCTCCCCAGGGCCACCCAGGGCCCGCAGAGGCCCCAGCCAGCTGCTCCGGAGCCCCAGCCCACACTAGGTTCCCGAAGCCCCGTTTCACGCTCGGGGCTTCCCGCTCTGCTTTCACCCTGACTCCGCCTGGGGTGCGCAGCGGGCGCCCAGACCAGCCTCCTGCCCGGTCCCGGAGGGTGCAGACCAGGCCGAGGAGACCCTCGCTGGGCTCGGGGATGACTCAGACCAGGCCCGGGAGGCTCCCAGCCTGGAGAGGAGACCGGGCCGCAGACCAGCCCACTCAGACCCGGGCGGAGGGAGGAAGGGGCATCCGATGCACAGGAGCAGGGCAGGGTGGGCAGAGGCTCCCCCGTGGGGGGCTGCACAGGGTGATGAACATAGAGACCCCGCCCCGGGGGAGCCCCAGCCTGTGGCCTGCCATCACCCATGGCCGACCCTCCGGACCCTCAGGACGCGGCCAGGTCAGCCTGAGGATGCAGGCGCTGGACCAGTGGGAGGGCGCCTGGCCGGTCCACCCATCCCGGGAGGAGCTGGAGCGCCGCTGGGAGGGTCAGAGGCCAGGCCCCGCGGCGGCACGGTGCCCACTGCCCCCGCCCGCAGCCCCGGGCCCTGCAGCCACCCCGCCCCGGGGGGTGACCATCGGTGATCGGAGCAGGGTGGGGTGCGGGCCGGCGGGGCGGGGTCTCGCCGGGGCGCCCGCAGCGTGGATGCCACCCTAGGTGACAGCCAGCCGGGCGGGCGGGCGGGCGGCGGAGCGCACCTACCTGCTTGTCCTCTGCGGGGTCGGGTCGGGTCGGGTCGGGGTCCGGGTGCGGGCGGGTCCGGGCCGGCGGGCGGGGGAGAGACGGGAGAGACGGTGAGAGCCGGGCGGCGGGCGGGCGGGCGGCGGGGACAAAGGCGCGGGGCGGGGGCCGGCTCACCTGGCGCGGCCAGCTTGCTCTTGTAGCGCAGGCCGGTGCTCATGGTGCCGCCGGCGGGGGACGTGCGGCGGCGGCGGCGGGGGCGCGGGCGGGCGGGGCGCGGCGACGAGCGGCGGCGGCGGCGGAGGCCGAGGCTGGGCTGCGGGGGGACCGGCCTCCGCGCGCCGCCAACCGCCCCGCCCGCGCGCCCGGCAGCCAATCGGCGCCCGCCGCGCCCACGCGCGACCCGGCGCGGCCCGCGGGGGCGGGGACCCCGGCGCCCCCCGCCCCGCCCGGCAGCCCGGCGGCCACGCCCTCCCCGCCAGCCGTCCGTCAGGGGCAGGGTTCCCCCATCCCCGCTGCCCCCCATCCCCGCTGCTCCCCACCTCCCTGGTCCCTTTGCCCCTTTGCAGGCCTGGACTGTGTGATTCCTGCCCCCCGGGACCCCCAGTCCCAGCCTGGGCCTCTGGCCACCCTGCCCTGGGGCCCTGCTGTCACACTTGCCCCTTGGAGGCTGGCTGCCTCCTGCCAGCTCCCGCCCTTTAGCCCTCTCTGCTTGGCGGACCCAGAGGGACCCTGGCGTTGGGTGCTGGAGGGCAGCGAGGGGTGGGCGCTGTGAAAAGAGACCCAGGGCTTGGGCCCCCTTTGCAGGGGGAGAAAGCCGAGGCCCCGGACCTGCAGGGAGTACCCGGGACTCACAAACACGAGTGCCCCCCCCCCCACTCCCTGTTCTCTTTGTCACATCACACTCCTGGTACCCACAGCCTGAGCCCAGGCCGGGAACTGCCTCCCCATCCATCATTGGCAGCTGGCCAGGCTGACCTGGCCGTGTACTGAGGGTCTGGAGGGAGGCCGTTGGTTATGGCAGGCCACAGGCTGGGGGCGGGGTCTCTGTGGTCATCAGCCAGCACAGAGACCCGGAGCAGCGCCCCCCCCCACACACACACAGGGGAGCCTTTGCCCACCCCACCCCACTCATCTGCATCGGATGCCCCTTCCTCCCTCCTTTAGTCCCTCAGGAAGGGGCGGTCAGACCTGTGGGCACCGCCTCTCCAGGTTAGGAGGGAGGTGGCTGCTGTGCCCCACAGGAGACCCTCCTCCCGCTCCAGCCCCTCGTATGCCCCTTGCTTCCTCCAGGGGGAAGAGGGTCCCAGGGCTCCGATGCCTCGGAGCCACCAGCCCATGGTCTATACGTGTGAAAGCCACAGCAGCAGCCCGGCCACTCCGCCCTTTCTGTGGCCAAAGTCCGCCCTTCCCAGGACCAGGAACCTCCTTCCGGTCCAGACCGGGGACAAGTGTGAGGACACTTCTCTGCCCCAACCTTTAAAGCATCGGGACCCGGCGTTCGAATTCAGAATCCTTTGTATTATACTATATTATTGTACATTATACGGCACCTCTCTGAACCCGGGGCCGGGCCGCGTCATGACACATCCAGACTTTGCTCCTCAAAGGAACCGGGAAGTGGGGGTGGGGTGGGGATGGAAACCATAATAAATGGCTACACACATCAGTTTGGGTGCGGCTTTGCCATCGAGTTTGAAAAGCCGTGACGTTTCAGAGCTTGGGAGAACTCGAAATTGTGGAGAGAGGACTGGGGCCGGAGGGGGCCCCGGAGGTGCCAGGGAAGACGTCTGGGGCCTTCGTCAGCCCCGAGGGGCTCTGTGGGAACCCTGGCTCGGGGGCCTGCAGCTTTGCCAATGGTTCGGTTGGTCAGCGAACATGGGGATGTTTAGCACAGACTGCCCCGTGCAAGCCTGCGCTTGTGGGGACAGAGGAGGAAAAACAGGCAGACACGCCCCTGCACAGGCCCTGACAGTGCTGCCCTCCGCGGAGCTCAGGGGGTGAGTCTGGGGGTTTGACACAGGCCTTGAGGAGAGTGGACTGCAGAAAATAGCTCGGCCGGAGACCAAGATTCTGAGGGTTTTTTTTTCTTTTGTTTTATTTTCATTGATTTCGGAAAGGAAGAGAAAGAGAGAAGCATCAACGATGAGAGAGAATCCTGTACACTCCCTCCTGGGGATCAAGCCCACAACCCAGGCATGTGCCCTGACTGGGCATCGAACCGGTGACCTCCTGGTTCTTAGGTAGACGCCCAACCACCGAGCCTTGCCAGCCGGGCACAATCCTGAGTTGTGAAGCAGTTCTGGAGATGTGAGGCGGGAGAGACAAGGCCCACCACATAAACATGGCTCTTATTAAATATGCTCCAAAGGATCACGGACAGAATGCAGTTGGGTTGGAGAAAGGCAGCATTTTACGTCTGGAGAACCGTGTGGCGGACGGGGAGCTGCTCCCCGAAAGGAGAAGTCGGGGAAGGCCAGGGTCAAAGCTACTCCTTGCCCTGGGGCTGTGGTCACCCCGGACTGTGAGTCCAGGAGAAAGCCCCAAATCCCACCACAGACACCCCAGAGCTGCCCCTGCCTGGCCGAGAGACCCTCAGGATGGCAGCACCCGCTGCTCAGTATTTTTGGAATCTGTCTGGGATGTCGCTGGAGTCAGGAAACGGGCCGGAAGGGCTCTGGCCAGCAGATCCGTAGGATGTGCCTCCTGTTCTGCCCAGTGGGACAGACTGGTCTCTCTCACTTCTCGCAGCCTGGACACTGCCCGTGGAATGGCCTCAGGCTTAGACTCTAAGCAGAGCCCTCAGACAGCTCTGGTCCATCCAACAGCACGTGGAGAAGGGGCAGGAGCAGCAGGGAGGGGCCGGGACCCTCCACCTTCACCAGCTTCCGAGCTGTGGTCCCTGGAGCGAACTGCATCTGCTTCCCCAGCAGGCAGCGTGCTGGCTGCGATACAGAGAGCAGTAAACAGACTCCTGGGTGGGGGGGGAAATGCTACTTTTTAATTCATAAGGAAAAGAAGTTAATGAGTACAAATATAAGCTACACCCGGAAAAATCTGTTCAACCAACTTGGGCTACAAATAGCTTGACGCTTTTCAGACAAAAACCACACACACACACACACATACACACACAGACACACACACACTTAGTTGCATTCTCAAGAGGCTGCAGTTAGCCCCGGGGGTGTCTCTCTCTCCTCTGCTCAGACTCGGGGGTGTCTGTGTGGTCATGTCAGACGGAAGGAGCCTGTGGGGAGATGGTGACAAACGGACGAGTGAGTGGTAGGCGTCGCAGGTGACGGGGCTCCACATGTTCGGTGGAGCAGGGACCACTGTCGACAAAAATCTAGACTATTCAGTCCATCTGAGGACAAGGCAGAGGCCAAGCTGAGCGAAGCAGGTGAGGTGCTGAGACCCTCCCCTCCCGGGGATTGGCGGGAGGGACCTGCCGGTCATGCTGGCCCACTGAGGGCAGCCTGTGTCCTTGAGGAGAGGGGACAAGGAGAGCGGGCATGTCCCTTTATCTGGACAGAGGCTCAGCAAGGAAGGACCTTACGTCAGTTCAAAATGCATTGGATCCAGCCCTAGCCGGTTCGGCTCAGTGGACAGAGCGTCAGCCTGTGGACTGAAGGATCCCGGGTTCGATTCCCTGACAGGGCACACGCCTAGGTGTAAGCAGGGTGGGAAGGAGGCAGCCAATCAATGATTCTCTCTCACCATTGATGTTTCTAATTTCCCCTCTCCCATTTTCTCTGAAGTAAATAAAAATATCAAAAGTAATAGAAATCCACTCGAGAGAAATCTCCATCACTGGAAATAAAAACCTGGCCTGCATTCCTGCCTCAGGATGGCACACGGGTAACCTGTCCACATGCTCTGGGGGCTGGGGGCTGGGTGGGCCGCGTGGAAAGACAAGACCAGCCTTCTCTCTGGGACGCAGAAGCCAGGAGCCCTGAGAGACCCTTCCTGCTCTGACTGCCCTCTGAGAAGCCCGGTGGCGGGGAGATGCTCCCCGTGCCTGGCAGTTTGTGGGGACCCCCCCCCGCCCCCCCCCCCCCCCCGCCCAGGGGAATGTCTGGGAAGGCCCAAAGGCTCGAGGCTGCGTGTCACCCAGCTCCCCCAGCTGCAGGGTGTGGGTCAGTGTGCAGAGCAGGCCGGAGCTCAGTGAGGAGGACTTACTGCTCTGGCCAGAGGAGGGCGCTCCGCTCAGGGTCCCTCCACAGCGAGCACCCTGCCCTGAGGCTGCCTTCTCCCCACCTGCTGCCAGCCGCCACCAACAGCCCCGCCTGTTCCCCTCCCTCCTGCCACACCGTCCGGGCTCTGCTGTGCTGCAGCCACCTGCTTCTGGCTTGGGGGACTGTACCCCAATGTCCAATACCCCCCTCTCCGCCCTGTTCCTCAGTGTGTGATGTAGGGCTGTGGAGGGCAGTGCAGGCTGGGGTCAGGGTCAGCGTCTCCTGCCAGCAGATCTTTTTTTTAAAAAAATATATATATTTTTATTTATTTATTTTTTTACAGAGAGGAAGGGAGAGGGACAGAGAGTTACAAACATCGATGTGAGAGAATCATCGATCAGCTGCCTCTTGCACACCCCCTGCTGGGGATGTACCCACAACCAAGGTACATGCCCTTGACCGGAATGGAACCCGGGGCCTTTCAGTCCGCAGGCCGACGCTCTATCCACTGAGCCAAACCGGTTTCGGCTGCCAGCAGATCTGAAACCTGACTTCCCCGGCGGCTCACAGGGTAGCTCTGGTGAATTCAACCCCCCCCGCCACCCCACCTCCACCGAGGATGACGGGAGCAGGGCCCTCTGCCTGCATGGTCCTCTCTGGGACAGCCCGACCCGGGCTGGGAGTGGGTGCTGAAGCCAGGCCTCCAGGCCCAGCCCTCCCTCCAGCAAACGGGTGATACGTGCTCCCAGCCCGGCCAGGTGCCTGTCCCTGTGAAGCAGCCCTGTCTGACCCTGAACTCTATCAACCGGATGGCCCCGATGCCCTCCTAACCCTGCTTTTGTCTGGGTGGGAGCACGGCTCCCACGCCCATGCTTGCCAGTCCTGTTGTCCTGGCTCAGCCGTGCCCGCGAGAAAAACCTGAGACCATCCCACACCTGGGGCTGCGGGCGGCCGGCAGCCCTGCCTGCTGACTCACTCACTCCCTCTGCCCGGACCGCCATCCCCACCCCATGGGCCCGGGGAGCCCAGGCTGAGGCGCCAT